TGTTGAGTCGCTCAGTTGTGTCCGACTCTTTGTGACCCCATGACTGTAGCCTGCCAGGCTCCTCTGTCCATGGAATTCTCCAGGCAAGAATACTGGAGTGGGGTGCCATGTCCTTCTCCAGGGGATCTTCCTCACCCAGGGATCGAACCGTGTCTCCTGCACTGGTCGACAGCTCCTCTACCACTGAGTCACGCTCAACTCACATTAGAGCGCTTTTGTGAACCGTCAGGTTTGTTTTGGAGTTTATATACAGTAAAATTCACCCTTTTTAGTGTACAGTTCTGTGAGTTTTGTCAAACATATGCAATTATATAATCACCACCATCCGTAAAGAGAGGTTCCCCCATTGACTCAAGTGATAAAGAATCTGCCTGCATTGCAGGAGACACAGGAGATGTGGGTTCGATTTCTGGGTCAGGAATATCCCCTGGAGAAGGAAATGGCAACCCACTCCAGCATTCTTGCCTGGAGAATTCCATGGACAGAGGAGCCTTGTGGGCCACAGTCCATGGGGTCTCAGAATCAGACACGACTGAAGCAACTAAGCATAGCCGATTAACAATGTTGTGATCGTTTTAGGTGAACAACAAAGGGATTCAGCCATAGGTAATACATGTATCCATTGTCCCCCAAACTCCCCCCCAATCCAGGCTGCCAAGTCACACTCAGCAGACTCCCCTGTGCTGTGCTGTAGGTCCTTGTTGGTTGCCCATGTTAAACACAGCAGTGTGTACCTGTCCATCCCAGACTCCCTAACTATCCCTTACCCTCATCCTTCCCAGGCAACATAAGTTCATTCTTTAAGCCTTAACAGTATCTTCGTAGAAGCTTAAGTTTCAAATTTAGATGAATCCAGTGGATTCACTTGTTCTTATATGGACTGTGCTTGTTGAGCACTTTGTTGAACAAGGCGGGGGTGACACATGAGTCCTGCGAGTATTTACTGAGGAGAGACTATGTGCCGGGTGCCTTGCGCGCTGGGGCCTGGATAACCAACAAGACTCACTGCCGCTCCCACTTAGTGGAGGAGAGGGACTCTGTAAAGATGTAACCGCAGCATCCTGTAACTGTAAAAGGGGCTTCCCTAGTAGCTCAGTTGGTGAAAAATCCCCCTGCGATGCAGGAGACCCCTGTTCGACTCCTGTGTCGGGAAGATCTGCTGGAGAAGACATGGGCTCCCCACGCCAGTATTCCTGGCTTTCCTGGTGGCTCAGCTGGTGAAGAGTCTGCCTGCGATGCCGGAGACCTCTCCCCCCCATGGTCTCCTCCTCGTCTCGTGTGTCGTAACTGTGGTCCCGCCAGCCTGCAGCAGGTTGGCCTCGAGGGACAGGGGTGGCATCTCTCAGGTGAAAACAGTATGGGGGCTGGCACTGTGTGAACAGGCAAGAAGAGTGACTGACTGGAGAAGGAGGGGAGGTGGGAGTTGGTAGAAGGGGCGGATCGTCAGGAATGAGATGGAGGGCGAGCTGCAGTGTTGCTCACGCCTGAAGCTGATGGTACAGGTTCTGATTCCTTGCTAGAACCAGATGCACATTCACAGTTTTTAAAGTTTGCAGCTTGAAGGTTCACGCGGCGGGGGCTTACTGTACTGAGCAGTGTTTCATGGCATGGACGCACTATAGTTTGTTTGTTGATTGACCAGTTGGAGGACATTTGGGTGGTTTCCATTTGGGGACCATGAGTAAAGCCAGTATAAACATTTGCATCAGGCTTTTATGTGAATACAGTTCACGTTCATGGGGTTCTCGCAGCAAGAAGACTGGGGTGGTTTGACTCTGGGAAAGACTGAAGGCAAAAGGAGAAGAGGGTGGCAGAGGCTGAGATGGTTGGATGGCATCACGGACTCAATGGACGTAAGTTTGAGCGAGCTCCAGGAGTTGGTGATGGATAGGGAAGCCTGGTGGGCTGCAGTCCATGGGATCGCAGAGTCAGACATGATTTAGCCACTGAAGAGTCAATTTGTGTGACCGTAAGTTTTCCTTTACCCAATGAGTGGTGTTGCCAGATGATATGGTCAATGTACATTTAACTTTGTAAGCAGCTCTCAGACCCCTTCCCAGCCTGGCTGCACCATGCTGCAGTCCCACCAGCCCCTGAGAGCTCCCATTGCCCCACACCCTCACCAGCACTTAGTATCGCCAGTTTTTAAAAACGTTTCCAGCTAGTCTGATAGGGGTGTAGGGGTTTCTCACTGTGGTTTTAGGGTGCCAGTCTCTGATGTTGAGCATCTTTTACTACGCCTGCCATCTGTATACCTTACTTGGGTATAAGTGTCTGCATCATCTCCTGGCCACTTTTTTTTTAATTGAATTATTCGTTCTCGTATTATGGAATTTTGAGAGCTGTTTATATATTCTGGATACAAGTCTTTTATCCCATGTATGTTTTGCAACTACCTTCTCCCTGTCACTTTTTTTTTTTTTTCATTTTCTTAACAGTATCTTTTTTTTCATCCACTCAACGGATATGAGTTTGAGCAAACTCTGGGAGATAGTGAAGGACAGGGAAGCCTGGTGTGCTGAAGTCCATGGGGTCACAAGGAATTGGACTGAGTGACTGAACATCAACAATATCTTTTCTTTTAACATTTTATTTTGTAATAAATAATGTTTTATTTTTTTCCATTTATTTTTATTAGTTGGAGGCTAATTACTTTACAATATTGTAGTGGTTTTTGCCATACATTGACATGAATCAGCCATGGATTTACATGTGTTCCCCATCCTGATCCCCCCTCCCGCCTCCCTCCCCACCCCATCCCTCTGGGTCTTCCCAGTGCACCAGCCCTGAGCACTTGTCATGCATCCAACCTGGGCTGGCGATCTGTGTCACCCTTGATAGTATACTTGTTTCAGTGCTGTTCTCTCAGAACATCCCACCCTCACCTTTTGCCACAGAGTTCCAAAGTCTGTTCTATACATCTGTGTCTCTTTTTCTGTTTTGCATATAGGGTTATTGTTACCATCTTTTTAAATTCCATATATATACGTTAATATACTGTATTGGTGTTTATCTTTCTGGCTTACTTCACTCTGTATAAATAATGTTTTAATTTGCCATTTCCTTACAGCCAATTAGGCGAAGGAAATGGCAACCCACTCCAGTATTCTTGCCTGGGAAATCCCATGGACAGAGGAGCCTGGTGGGCCACAGTCCATGGGGTCTCAGAATCAGACACGACTGAAGCAACTAAGCATAGCCGATTAACAATGTTGTGATCGTTTTAGGTGAACAACAAAGGGATTCAGCCATAGGTAATACATGTATCCCTTGTCCCCCAAACTCCCCCCCAATCCAGGCTGCCAGGTTACACTCAGCAGACTCCCCTGTGCTGTGCTGTAGGTCCTTGTTGGTTGCCCATGTTAAACACAGCAGTGTGTACCTGTCCATCCCAGACTCCCTAACTATCCTTTACCCTCATCCTTCCCAGGCAACATAAGTTCATTCTTTAAGCCTTAACAGTATCTTCGTAGAAGCTTAAGTTTCAAATTTAGATGAATCCAGTGGATTCACTTGTTCTTATATGGACTGTGCTTGTTGAGCACTTTGTTGAACAAGGCGGGGGTGACACATGAGTCCTGCGAGTATTTACTGAGGAGAGACTATGTGCCGGGTGCCTTGCGCGCTGGGGCCTGGATAACCAACAAGACTCACTGCCGCTCCCACTTAGTGGAGGAGAGGGACTCTGTAAAGATGTAACCGCAGCATCCTGTAACTGTAAAAGGGGCTTCCCTAGTAGCTCAGTTGGTGAAAAATCCCCCTGCGATGCAGGAGACCCCTGTTCGACTCCTGTGTCAGGAAGATCTGCTGGAGAAGACATGGGCTCCCCACGCCAGTATTCCTGGCTTTCCTGGTGGCTCAGCTGGTGAAGAGTCTGCCTGCGATGCCGGAGACCTCTCCCCCCCATGGTCTCCTCCTCGTCTCGTGTGTCGTAACTGTGGTCCCGCCAGCCTGCAGCAGGTTGGCCTCGAGGGACAGGGGTGGCATCTCTCAGGTGAAAACAGTGTGGAGAAAGGGGAGCCTGGGGCATCGAAGAGATTGATGGGGCAGGTCTAGCATGTGGAAGAGGGGACCCGAGAGCCCCCCGGAGTCTGGCTGAACTCGGTAGGGGGCCCCGCACACAGGGCTGCCTTCTCCCTGTCTGTAAAACAAGCTCGGACAGCGGTGGGTATCGTGGGTCAGACGCAGAAGGTGAGGAATGCTAGGCTCCCTGGAAAAGGCGGCCCCTCTTCCAGCTGGCTCTGGTGGGGCTGTTCCCTCTCTTCTGAAAGCACAGAGGAAACTCAGGAGTGATGCTGTGATCTTCTACTGGGGCCTGAACTCCCAGAGCTGTTCTTGTGCTGCTGTTGTCTGAGGCTCTGGGTCTTTCTTTATCTATGTATTTTTTTACGTATTTATTTGGCTGTACCACGTCTTAGTGGCCGCACGTGGGACCTTTTAGTTGTGACACGTGGGACCTCGTTCCCTGACCAGGGATCAAACCTGGGGCCCTTGCACTGGGAGCACGGAGTCTTAGCCACTGTACCCGCAAGGACGCCCCTGGGTTGTCTCTAGAAGGACGCAGCCAGGACGTGTGTTTCCATTTGAGATGCCTGGTTTCCTTCTAGCAGCAGCTTTCTCTCCTCATCTCTTCCTCCTCCATGGAGAGCGCCCCGCCCCCCACAGCTTAGTTAATCCCGGGCAGAGGTGGGGTGGGGGGTTGGTGGGAGGTGGGGGGAGTGGGATGCTCTCCGCCCCTCGCTCCGGGGGGTGCATGAGGAGGGCAGGGAGTTCAGGCCGGCTCCATAGACACAGCCCGGGCGGCAGAGGCTCGGCCTGGGTGCCCGCCCGGCCCGAGGCCACCCTGGCCTGGCACGCCCGCCGGCCAGCCTGAGTGGCACCTCGCACCCCGAAGGCCTGGCGGGCGGTGTCAGGTGATGTGTTGAGTCAACAGAATCACAGGAGAGCCCTGCTTGGAGTCCTGAGGCCGCGACCGCCGCCAGCACCCGGGAGGGGTGGGGATGCCCCCACTGGCCGGCAGCCACCTGGCCCGTCAGGCGCCCAGCAGAGGGAGGCCAGAGCCGGCGTCACACCCCCTCACTAACCCGCTGCGGGCCAGGCCCCGGCCTCCTCCGCCTGCTGTGCTGGGCGAGGTTTTCCAGAGAGGTGTTTGCGAACTGCTTCTGGGCCCACTGGCCACCCAACAGCCTGGCAGGCCGGTACGCTCCGGGTGCGTGGAGGGCTGCATGTCTGGACGCGACCTCAGGCACCTTGGGGAGGGATGGGGACGCGGCGCCCTTCCTAGACCCCACGGCCCACTCCATGCTGAGTCCAGCGTGTGGAAGAGGGGATCAGATTCTGGCTAAACAGCCCAGGATCCACCCAAAATGGGGCAGCCAAGTGCAGCACGAGGAGCCACGTTCCATGAGCGCTGGGCTCCTGCAGTCCACGCCGGTGGGGAGCTGCTGGCATCGGGGGTTCTCACTGGTTCCTACAGACAAACCGCAGAAAGTGCAAGAATAACTCAAGGGACAATTTCAGACTTTATAGAGTCTGCCCCGGGAGCTTCCGAGTGGCAGGTATCCCCATTAGCTGGAATAATAAAGAGGTGATGGACGGTGGACAATCAGGAATTCCAAGGAGGGGCTGGAGGCAGGGCAGGGAAAGCCTTGGGGGGTTGGTGTCCCAGTCAGCAGTGAGGGGGCGCCTGCATGCAGAGGCTCTGTTGCTGGAGACCTCTCCTGGGAGGCTACTCCCGGGGTGGGGCAGTCCCACCCCTGCCTGTATAGTAGGGTCGTCCCAGTTCACAGGGCCAATGCCAAGTGTGCCCACGTCCCAGATCCACCGATTTCCATCACAGCCAGGTCTGCCAGTACCAGGCAGGCTGGCTTTGCCAGGACAATCTGCCTGGACAAGGCTGTTACACACAGGCAGCCCTGCGAGGTCAAGGTTAGGAAGCCTTGTCTGAACTGACATAGAAATCCGGTCCTGACCTCAGGGCACGCCTGAGCAGGGCGGGGCCCTAGGAGGGCTCCTGCCCGGAAATACTCTGGCCCCACCTGCGGCCAGTGTCACAGAGCCTTGCCCTACGTTGTCAAATCCTCAGTAAACTGGGTTTCAGAAACCGTCTTATATGGTAACTGGATTGCTGTAGAATCTCTCCCTTTTTTTCACTAGTACGCATTTATTTTGGCCGCGCTGGATCTTCGTTGCTGTGCAGGCTTTCTCTAGTTGCAGAGACCTGGGGCTACTCTCCAGCTGCAGAGTGTGGGCTTCTCATCTCGGCGGCGTCTCTTGTTGCAGGGCACAGGCTCTAGGGTGGTCGGGCTTCAGTAGTTGCGGCTCCCCGGCCCTAGAGCTCAGGCCCAGTAGTTGTAGCTCATGGACTTAGTTGCTTCCCAGCATGTGGGATCTTCCCGCACCAGGGATGGAACCCGTGTCTCCTACACTGGCAGGCGGGTTCTTTACCACTGAGCCACCGGGGAAGCCCTAGAATGTCTCCCTCTTACAAAGCAGCTGAGGGTTTTTTCTTTTTCTTTTTTCACCTCCCTTCCGGGAGAATTGCCTTTGAGCTTCAGCATCAAAAGGCACATAGGCTCTTATCTTATTGCAATAGTGAAGTCGCTGGGGTTACACTTGGGGGCCACGAAGCAGGACGCAGGCCTCCAGAGGAACTCGAAGAGGACACAGCTCCCCTGAAGACAGTCAGATGCCAGAGGTCGGCTCACCCTGCTGGGGCCGAGCCAGAATCACCTCTGTGAGTGCCCATGCCCTCCCCCACCACTGTTTCTGTTTTGTTTTCTTTTGCCAGTTCACCCATGCCAAAAGTCAACACGCTAGAGCCAACCACTTAATAACCAGGTCCAGAATCCTGTCGGGTGTACGAGCCGCTGTGAAACTGCAGCTCTTTCTGCGTTCCTTCTAGGAGAATAAGAACCTTAGAAACTGTCCTAAAAGAGTTGGTTTTCTTAAAGAATTTTTCACCTACTGCTTTCTCATCAAAAACGATAAACTGACTCCAGAACAACTTGGGTCTCCAACAGACTTTGAATAGTTTCTGTTACAAAAGCTTGTAAAACAGGCTCTTTGCGTCTATAAGCAAAACTTGCAGCCCCAAACCTTATTCCAAATTAATATATGAACTGAGAGGAAGCTCCAGCAGGGCCAGAGCCAAAGCCATCAGGTATAAAGTTATCCAGGCCCATTTCTAGAGAGAGTGTGTCATTCACTCAGTCGTGTCCAACTCTTTGTGATCCCACAGACTGTAGTCCGCCAGGCTCCTCTGTCCGTGGGATTCTCCAAGGGATCATCCATACCCAGGGATCCAGGTTGTGTCTCCTGCGTTGCAGGCAGAGTCTTTACCATCTGAGCCACCAGGGGAGGGAGTCCAGAAACTCTGTCTTTGTCTGCAGGAGGAGTAATTTCCATCAGAGGTCAGGCAGGGAGCCTGGAATTCAGGAGGAAGAGAGTTTGCTGTCAAAGAAGGGGGCTGTGAGAGGGAGGGCTGAACCTGGTGCCACGTGGCCACCAAGAATGGGAACTAGAGTTACTTTACAAGTCTCCTGTCTGTAAAATGAGGAAGCTGGTTTGAATGAATGGTTCAAAACTTGTCTGGCCACCTGAATCACCTGAGGAACTTCCAAAATGCAGGTTCCCAAACTCCACCTTGGACCGTGGTAAGGAACACGCCTGCCAGTGAAGGAGAGGTGGGTTCGATCCCTGGGTCAGGAAGATCCCCTGGAGAAGGGAATGGCAACCCACTCCAGTTTTCTTGCCTGGAGAATCCCATGGACAGAGGAGACTGGTGGGTTACAGGCCACGGGGTTGCAGAGAGTCGGACACGACTGAGTGGCTAAACACACAGGCTTCACCTTGGACCCATTCAACAGAATCTTTAGGCTCTGGGATGGGGTATTTTCCGAGCTGCTGGGTGATCCTGCTAGGTCAAGTTTGAGAACTGTGGGCTGAAACCATCTCAACTGGCCAGGTGACTCAGACGCCTTGCCCAGGGTGTTGGGTCAAACTCTGGGGATGCAGACTGAGGACTGCAAAGACCAGTGGTTTTGAGAAAAGCCTTCCCATGGGAAAGGGAGGCAGAAAGGTACCCAGAGTTCAGTGAGAAAGTTACGGGGACTCTTCATGGGTATTCTGCCTAAAGCCTGAGAGCACATCACTGCTGGGCTGGGACAAACCAGGACCACACACATGCTCGCGGGGTGGGGGAGCTAATCAATCCATCCTCCTGAGCAAAGAGGAGCACCTGCTTCTTATTTTTTTAAATATGTATTTATCTGGCTGTTGCACCAGATCTTAGAGTCTTAGTTACAGCACACAGGATCTTCCGTCTTCAGTCGCGGCACGAGGGATCTCTAGTTGTGCTGTGCAAACTCTAGTTGCAGCAGGTGGGATCTAGTTCCCTGACCAGGAATGGAACCTGGGCCCCCTGCATTGGCCCCATAGAGTTTTAGCCACTGGACCACCAGGGAGGTCCCAAGAGCACCTGCTTCTGCACAAGGGAGACCCCAGCCCACTGAGGCCAGAGAGTCTGGTTCCCCCTCACAGACCGTTCAAGCCCCAGAAAGTCCAACTGCCACCAGAAGGGCCATGGCTGATCCCTTGAAGTCAAGAAGGACCAAGGAATATCCTATCAACGCTCAGACCTCAGGTTGGTCTGTGCCCAGAATGCACTGGGGTCTCAGGCTTGGGCCCAGGTTTGCCGATGACCCAGCTTCGTGTTTCAACATGGAGCTCACACACCTTTGTGTTTCCAATCTCTCATGGGTTACTCTGGGAGACCCCGCAGGGGGCAGAGAGGGGAGATTACCTTTCCTTCCAGAGTCCCCACCTTGGGGTATCCTCCCATCCCTGTAGCTATCCTGCCCTGTCGAGTCAGTTGGCGGCTCTGGGCTATATTTCACCCCGTCAGGCACCTAGTGGGCACAGGCCATCTGGACGGCCAGAGTGGAGGCCTGTGATCCGGGGATTTGCAGAAGCAGGACAGGTACCCATCCGCGGGCCTCGGTGCCTCTACCTGGACCATGACTGGTTGTCTGGAGTGTCGTAGGCTTGCCTCCCGGAAGGGCCTGGCTCAAGGCAGCCACTCCCCTCCTTCCCCGCCGCATCCTCTGTGCCTGAGTGGCAGATGCTCGGGCCGAGGCTGGTGAGGCCTGGAACAGCACCTGCAGATGAGCTCCAGGGAGCCGGCCGTGCTTCTGTGGCTCTTCTTCTGCTTCTGGTGTCTCATGGACGTCAGCCCTAGGTGGTGGGGAAGAACCCTGATGGACGTGTGTGCCCTGTACGCGAGGACCACTCCCCACAGGGGAGACTGGACCCCGGCATGTGCTCAGCCTGCTTGTCTTCCTTCTATTACCCGGGGCCTTCTGTCCCCTCTGATGTCCTTATCCATGGCCTGGCTCCTTAGCAGCAGGGGTCCCTGCATCTCCCTGGCCGGGGCAACTGGTTTGACACATACTGTTCATGTCACCATCCCCCCATGACCCTCATCACCATCCCTCCAAAGTCAGGAACACCTGGACTTCCCTAGTGGCCCAACGGTAAAGAATCCGCCCGCCAGTGCAAGGCCAGGGTTCAATCCCTGGTCCAGGAAGAGCCCACATACTCTAGTTAAGCCCACAGGCCTCAACTCTAGAAGCCACCACGAGAGGAGGCCCATGTTGTGCAACAGAGTAGTCCTGGTTGCCACAACTAGAGAAAATGCACACAGCAACGAAAACCCAGCCCCGCCAGCAACAAATAAATAAATGAAAGTAGTACTATGATAACTGAATAAACTTTTTTTTTTTAATGTCTGGGGGAAATAACTGTTGTTGTTGTCCCTCATCTCTGTGATGAGTCGTTAGTTATTTTAAAGGCCACATGTTAGCAAACCGCCACGCGAGGCAAATTGAAAACTTGTGCTTCTCACTCCAGGCTCTTGGGACGATGGTCAGCAAGGACATTTAAGATCAGGAAGAAAATGAATTTTTTCATTTTGGTTTTATATGTTTCTGGGTATTTCAGACCATATGCATGAAGAAGGTTGGTGCTGCCCTGCAGGAAGGGGAACACCATATGTAGGGGAGTTGGGGGGAGGCACACCACACAGTCATCTGGTCGACCTGGCTTTTTTTTTTTTTTTTTAACCAAGCAGGGCGTTGGCTAGTGAGTGGTGAAACTAGGCCTAGAACTTGAGGCTCCCGAATCCAGGGCTCTCCTCTGCACCCTTCTGCTGCCCTTGTTCACTTCCTTCCAGCGGCCCTGCCATTCTCCTCTCTCCCCTCCTCTCCAGGCGCGGCTCAGGCCGGCATGGCCCAGCCCTGTGAAGTCACCAGCTCGTGGCTCCCTGGTGTCTGGTGTGGCTGCCAGGCGTCTCCTCTGTTCACTCACTGGGCCTATTCACTGGCCCTGGCTGCAGCCCCAGGAGACGCAGGGGCATTGTTCAGTCTTGGAGGTGATGGCAGGGCGAACAAAGTCCTCGAGGGCCGGGGGAGTTCGGGAGCGCCTTCCCAGAAGAGCAGGACCGGGGAGCCTGTCAGGGCTTTTTGGTTATGTCACCACAGCCCTGTCCCGTCTGGGCCCCTTTGAAAGCCACCTCAACTGGGGTCCGATCTGCTTCCGTCTCGAGTCGAGCCCTTCCCGGTGTTTCCGTGGGGCCTCCCCACCCCTCCAGCCTCCTCCCTGAGCTCCCCCTGCTCTGGGCTTGTGGGCACTTGACTCTCAGCGCTCACCGCATGGTACTGTTGCCATGTGTTGCGGTTTGGGGCCTGTCCCATTTCTTCCAACCAGGCTGGAAGGTGGGACTCATCCACTGCACCTTGACCTGGCCCAGAGCCGCTGGCCATTCAGACACAGGCTTCTCCTGGAAGTCCAAGCTTGGCAGTTTATCTTATGATTTAGGAAATAAATCGGTCTGTTTGATGGTAATGGAGGATTGTGTCAGCATCACCCCATTTTCCTCTTTATGAATGGTGTCACCAATATTCAAAAAAGGGGGAAAAAAAGTTAAGAGTATCATTTTTACCCACCCTCTTCCTTCCTTCCATTAGACAGTTTTCCCCTCACTGGTGAAAGTGAGAGAAAGTGTTAGCTGTTCAGTGGTGTCCGACTCTTTGCGTCCCCATGGACTGTAGCCCGCCAGGCTCCTCTGTCCATGGGATTCTCCAGGCAAGGATACTGGAGTGGGTTGCCATTTCCTCCTCCAGAGGATCTTCCTGACCCAGGGATGGAAACCAGGTATCCTGCATTATAGGCGGATCCTCTACCGTCTGAGCCACCAGGGAAAGGGGCATAAATGTGATCAGAAGACCCCTCTCTGTTGAAATTCTCTCCGCTCTTTCTGGTTGGCACGGAAGAGAAAACCTCTTTGAAGGCGCCCATCCCCACCCCACAAGGCCGCCCCGCTCCCCTCCAACAGCAACCCCACCTTCCCTCCAGGCACTCAAGCTTCCCAAGCCCCCCTTCCTCTTAGCCTCTGAAACCCCACTTTCTGGAAGGGTGATTCACGCTCCCAAAGTGTGAATCTAAGTCTTTGTGTTCTGTCTCTGGGTGATTTCCCAGTGTCATTGTAGCAAAATGGGACCTCTGCCATTCACTCACACCAGTGAGTGATTTCTCTAGTCCCCAGTTGCTTCACCTGGGAAGTAGGGTCATAAACCCGCCCCCTCTCTCTTGGGGGTGGGGGGCAAAGGAAGCAAGAGTGGACCCCAGCACTTCATCACTTCGTGACCGGTAAGATGGTACCGTAAGACTCTACCCTGAGAGGTGTGGCAGCTTGCAGTGCAGAGAAGGGGCATGTTTTGGGTTCTAGCAGAGTTCTTGCCCTGTGCCCTAAGCTACACACATTCCTAACCCGCACATCATGTTACCTGTCTCCTCTGCCGAGACTCCCGCTCCCGGCTCTGAAGTCCAGGTATCATCCTGTATTCCCCCACAGGACTCACCTCCTCTGGGAATGGAGGAGAGCCCTCAGGAAGGTCAGGTGGAAGGTGGACGACGAACCTCTTGATGTTAGAAAGAGTTCCATGAGAGGAGCTTTCTTGAGGGCCACGAGTTCTCTTCAGTTCCCCTGTTTGCACCTCCGGATGGCAAGTCTGCCATCTTCTCCTCAGTGTGGGCGGCTCCGCACGGCTGTGTCGAGGGCGCGTCCTCTGAATGTCCCTCTTGTCCTCCGTGGGGACCCGGTCACACTCATCCCGTGCTCACGTGGGACGAGCCCCAGGGGACACAGAAGCCACCATCTAGGCTTTAAGGAGCGCCTTCTAACTCCTTACACTTGAGAAGGGCCCACACTCTCTCAAAGAACTAGCCAGGAGTTCCACCAGCCCTGAAAGTCCCCCTGCAGTGCAGGGGAGGCTTATCCTGAGGACTGGATAAACCCAGCCCAGTCTAAGCGGGACAGCATCTCAGGGAGAGAAGGGGAAGTGGGGGGCGTTGGCGAAGCCTGGAGGGAGCGGCCCTGCCCTCCATCCTTTCCGTGGAGACCCCCCATCAGTTCTCCAGCACACACCCCAGAGTGCAGGGAACACCCCAGAGAGACACAGGAAGGGCCTTGTGTCCAGGGGCCCGGGCCAGAGCGGGGAGCAGGGACTGTGACACTTCTCAATGGATCACCGTAGCCCTGGGAGCCGGTCCGTTCCAGGCCACGTCGCCGCAGCCAGTGAAGGACACGCCACCACCCCTGGGGCCCGAGGGCGTCCACACACAGGACAGCACAGGTGCTTCCTTCTCCCGGTCGGTCCACCTGGACCCTCTCTCCTCCGGGACTGTGGGTGTCATCCACTGTCCGCCCCCTCCTGCTTTCCCTGGAGCTCCTCCCTGGTCAGCCTGGGGACTGGGATCTCCGCTTGGCGTGGTGGCTCCTGGGACATGGGGGTCCCTGGAAAGTGACCTGGTTACTCCCAGTGCTCCCGTCTAGGAAGTGTGGAAGGGAAGGTTCCAGCCCGGCTTGAGCCTTGGCCCTGCCCCCTCCTGTCTCCCTGCCTGTTGGGTGAGGACACTGACCACGCACCTGCCCCCCGCCCGGACCAGCGCGGGCAGATGATGAATGGGGGCAGGAGGAGCAGCTTACACATGCTTCCCGGGTGGCCCGCCTGCCGGTGCAGGAGACACGATTCAATCCCTGGGTCGGGAAGATCCCCTGGAGGAGGAAATGGCAATCTCCTCTCCTGTTCTTGCCTGGAGAATCTATGGACAGAGGATCCTGGCGGGCTGCGGTCCACGGGGTCACAGAGCTGGACATGACTGAACAACTCAGCACGCCCGAGAAGCTCACCTGCTTTCACCCGTTTTGGTTTGGCGTGAAGCAGCCTGTTGTTCACCGGTAGGCCAGGCGAGATGGGCTGAGGCTCACAGGGCCGCAGAGTCAGGAGTGGGGGGTGGGAGGTGGTCTGGGGGGTGAGGACGGAAGCAGAAGGAACACAGGTGCCCAGGGCTGGCGAGTGGAAGAGTCTGGACGGGGCACAGAGCAGCACAGGGTAGGCTCGTGGCTTGTAGGCCGATCAGTCTTTGTCAAGGTCAGAGGGAGCAAGAGTGTGGCCCCTGGACCATGTTTACTGACGTCTTTGGCTTGCATGCCTGTTGTATTTTTGAATAATTTAAAAATTATATTCAGTTACCTATAAATGTGAGAGACTGAACCCAAATCCAGAGTCCCCCTCTCTTGGAAACAAATCAATATCAGGCAGCATTATTGTATTGTTTCCTAGAGCTTCCATAACAAAGTAGCCCAAACTGGGTGGTGTAAATCCACAGGAGTTTATTCTCTCGTAATTCCAGAGGCTGGAAGTCTGAACCAACGTGTCAGCAGGACCACACCGGGCTCTGAGACTCTGAATAGCCTCCCACCTGGCTGCCTCTAGCTTCCTTTTTCCTTTTTCCAGTTTTATTGAGAAATAATTGATGTGCATCACTGTGTATGTTTAAGGCATACAGAATGATACTTTGAATTTCTTGTATTGTGAAATGATGATCACAGTGAGTGAGCTAACATCCCCCATCCCCACACAAACAAGAAAAAGAAATGAAAAAGAAGAACTTTCTCCTTGTGATGAGAGAGCTCTTAGGAGTTCTCCTAACTTTCCTGCGTGTCATACAGCAGTGTTAACTACGGTCATCATTTTGTACATTGCATCCCTGGTAGTTAGTTATCTGATCACTGGAAGTTTGGACCTTTTGACCACTCTCCTCCAGTCTTCTAGCTTCTGATGGTTGCTGGCAGCGCTTGTCATTCCTTGGCTCATAGAGACATCACTCCAGTGTCTGCCTCCGTCATCACGTGGCCTTCTCCTCTGCGTGTGTTTGTGTCTTCTCCCCTTATAAGGGCGCTACACATGGGGTTAAGAGTCCAGCCTGTTTCAGTATAATCTCAGCTCGATTCTGTCTACAAAGATCCATTTCCAAATAAGGTCACATTCATAGGTACTGGGGGTTCGGACTTTAACATATCTGTTTGGGGGACTCTGTTTAGCCATAACTATGATCTTACAGTGTAATCAGACAGGTGTGAGTGACAATCGCCTGCTTCAGACAGGCCTCCAGGATTGCACAAATCCTGTGGACGTGGACAGCCTCTCACTCTGGGCAGATTCGTGTCCGGGTCTCCTGCCAGTTCTTTGTCCCCCGCGTCCCACCCACTTCTTCCTGGTTCCAGTCCTATCCAAGTCTTCACTCCGCAAGACCTCTCCTTCCCAAAGCCACCCCAGCGATCATCTTCACAGTGATTCTAGCTCTTTGCACAACCACAGTGGCGGTTTTCACATCACACATTTTGACAATAACAGCGTGTCTGGTCTGGTCCTTGGTATAGTTATGTGACTTCTGACCTTCATCTCTGCTGAATATGAACTTCCCTATGTCTTATCCCAAGGACTACGGGCTCCACTCCACATGCTCTCGGCACCATGCTTTGTAGGGGAGGGAGGGGAGATCCCATAGTCTTGGACTAAACTTGAAAATCACGTCTGGTAAGTGTGTATAAGTCTTATCCCCCAACAACTTCTGAACGGTCCCTGTCACGGCAAGGGGGACTCTGCCCACGACTCAGGTTGGGTGGGGCGGGGATTTCTGGACACAACCAATTCTAAGGGATTAGAAGGATTGTACTCAAGCTTGTCCCCAACATTCAGAATTGAATCATTTAGATTCTTGCTGTGTGAGACTCTCAGCACTTGCAGCTGGGAGCCCTTTCCTCCATGTCAGCAAATCGCTCATGCCCTTTGTGGTTCCTCTTCTGCCCCAGGCCTCTCTTCCTCTCCGTCGACACCCACCCAAGTGGCCAAGCAGCACACGTTCCCCCTCGAGTCCTACAAGCACGAGCCTGAGCGACTGGAAAATCGCATCTATGCCTCCTCTTCGCCTCTGGACACAGGCCAGAGGTTCAGCCCGTCCTCCTTCCAGAGTGCAGCCAGGCCTCCGTCAGCATCGCCGACACATCCTTCTCCCTCCAAATCTGTAAGTCTGGGCCTTCTCCTGGGGGCCAGGCCGTCAGGCGTGGGAGGGAGGGCAGAGTCTGGATGTAGCTGAAGCTAAGGCTGGGCACTCCTGACATCTTGGGTGTATTTTATCATAAATCACAAACTAAGAAAAAAGTAGCAAGAGCACAATTGCTGTTGTTGTTCGGTTGCTAAGTTGTGTTTGACTCTTTGTGACCCCATGGGCTGTAGCACACCAGGCTTCCCTGTCCTTCACCATCTCCTGGAGCTTGCTCAGACTTGTCCATTGAGTCATTGATGCCATCCAACCATCTCATCCTCTGTTGTCCCCTTCTCCTTCTGCCTTCAGTCTTTCTCAGCATCAGGGTCTTTTCCAGTGAGTCGGCTCTTTGCCTCAGGTAGCCAAGGTATTGGAACTTCAGCTTCAGCATCAGTCCTTCCAATGAATATTCAGGGTTTATTTCCTTTAGGATTGCCTGGTTTGATCTCCTTGCAGTTCAAGAAACTCTCATAAGAGCACAATAGGCAAATGGAAATCAAATGAACAGTAGCTTCTGGAACATGGCCAGGAAAACTTTTTTGCTCTTTTAGCTTCATTTTAAAAATCAGTTATTAAAAGCTTTATTTGAGTTTGTCATGATTGGGGCACTAAAGTAAAAAGTCATAGGCAAAGCAAAAAAAAAATTGTTTTTTAATAGAAATTTTATTCTAAAAAAAAAAAGAAAAAAATTTTGTTCTAGCTTTTTAAGATTTAGAGTCTGACATCACTTGACTTGGGAAGCAGTCTTGGAAAGGTGAGCCTTTCAAAGCAGAGTGGGTTGGTGAAACAGGTGTCTTCGCATCCTTCAGAGGATCAGGACTAGTGGATATGAATGGAGGAGCTGGCTTAATGGCAGCACTTAAACACTCTGCATTTTAACACCATGGGCCTGAAGTGTGGGGACCACCATCACCACCTCTAGTTCATGTGGGGACCACAGACATGCACTATCATTCCCGTGCCCAACAAGGGTGTACAAACCGTATCGCTGAAGTCTTTGCATATGGATGTAACCAGTCTGTTCAGTGTGGTGTTCATTTCCAGCAGCTGCTGTAACAAAGGCGCACAAACTGGGGGCTTGAAACAACAGGAAGCCATCATCTCATGTTCTGGAGGCTGGGAGCCTGAAATCAAGGTTTTGGCAGGACCATGTGCCCACCGAAGTCTCAGGGGGGAGTGGGGGGTGGGGAACCTTCCTTGTCTGCCCAGCTTCCAGGAGCCCCAGGGTTTTCTTGGTTTGTGGCAGCTTTCTTCCAGTCTATGCTTGCATCTTCACATGCTGTCTTTCCTCGAACTCTGTTTGCGTCCAGATTTTCCTCTTATAGGAACTTCACTCATACTGGATTAGGGTCCTACCTGGTGGCTCAGACGGCAAAGAACCTGCCCGCATTGCATGAGACGTGGGTTCTGTCCCTGGGTTGGAAAGGTCCCCCAGAGACAAGAATGCCAACTCACTGCAGTATTCTTGCCTGGAGAATCCCATGAACAGAAGAGCCTTGTGGGCTACAGTCCATGCGGTCAGACACAACTGAACAACTAATACTTCCTCAGTATGGCTGCTTTATACATAGATAGATGTATCCTTGGCCATGCCAGGTCTTAGTTGGGGGATGTGGGATCTAGTTCCCTGACCAGGGATTGAACCCAGGTCACCTGCGTTGGGAGTGCAGACTCTTAACCACTGAACCGCCAGGGAAGTCCCTGGATTTTTTTTTTATATTTATTTCTTTATTTTTGTCTGTGCTGGGTATTTGTTGCTGCTCACGGGCTTTCTCTAGTTGCTGTGAGAGGAGGCTGCTCTTCGTTGTGGTGTGTCGGCTTCTCATTGCGGTGACTTCTCTTGTGGAGTGTGGTCTCTAGATCTCTATAGTTGCAGCGCACGGGCTTTAGTTGCCCCGAGGCATGTGGGATCTTCCTGGACCAGGGATTGAACCCGTGTCCTCTGCGTCGGCAGGCAGGTTCTTAACCGCTGGACCACCAGAGAAGCCCCGCTTTTTAAAAAATATTTATGTATTTGGCTGCCCCGAGTCTTTGTTGTGGCACATGAAACCTAGTTTCCTGAGCAGGAGTTGAACCCAGCCCCCCGACATTAGGAGCACAGAGTCTTAGCCATTGGACCACCAGGGAAATCCCAGGACGACCTCTTCATAACTTAATTACCTCTGAAAAGACCCGATTTCCAAACAAGGTGGCNATGAAACCTAGTTTCCTGAGCAGGAGTTGAACCCAGCCCCCCGACATTAGGAGCACAGAGTCTTAGCCATTGGACCACCAGGGAAATCCCAGGACGACCTCTTCATAACTTAATTACCTCTGAAAAGACCCGATTTCCAAACAAGGTGGCATTTCATGGGTATCGTTGGTCAGGACCTCACAAAGCTTTTGGGGGGACACCATCTAATCATAACAGTTGCTGCCTTTGGGAAGAAAGAAGATGTGTTAGTCTGGCAGAGAACCTACCATGAGTCTTCTCCTTGTTTGTCCCATGATTACTTTATTAGATGTAAGCTTAGTAGAGTATTGTTTTAAGTGCTGAAGGATAAAATGTAAGGTATTGTCTCTGCCCTCTAGGGCTTACAGTCTTACTGGGAACAGAATAACATTCAGATAAAGCAGTTAAATCAAAGCGGAAAGTAGGTTGGGTAGGGATCAGGTGGGAAACGAATAGTCAACACTGCAGGGGGGTGGGAAGGGGAAAATACTGATGAGGGTAAGGAAGGAAGACTTGGGTGACTGTAGGGTTCAAATCAGCAGGAGTGGTGGAGATAGGGCCTTCTGGAAGGAGTGTGACTGTATCTTGGGGTAGGAGCTGGCAGGGAAACTGGGGGTGCTGTCTGGGGGGTGCTGGTGATCTGGTGGAGCTTGGAGGCGGGAAAACCAGGAGACCCCTTAGCGCTCCGGGTCCAGGAGGAAGGTCATCCGTGAACTTGGGTGTGAATGAGAAGAGATCTTGAGGTTTGTCCCGGGCATTTAGCGAAGAGACTTGGTCATAGAGATTCGAGAACAAATGTGTCCAAAGAAAGGGATCATGAGGTAACTGAAGGTTATCAAAAGCAGGGAGCTGCTACTCCCCTTGGGCTGGAGGGATGGGAGGGGACCCCATCCGGCGGGAGGTGGGACCAGCGTGTCTGCCTGGCAGGAAGGAGCTGGGGCCGCAGAGGAGGAGCAGCCCCTGGCCTGAGCTGCCGTTGAAGACAGAGGGATAGGAAGCCTGGCATCTCCGTGGCTTCCTGCCCTCCACGTGTGCCCAGCCTGCCGAGAGGCTGGCGGGCCCGGAGACCTGACGGGGAGCCAGGAGGGGGCCAGAAAAGGGAGCCAAGAGTGACCGCCAGAGAGGCCGGGACGGAGGAAATCTGTTCAAAGCATCGGCTTCTTCTCCCAGACCCGGGATGACTGACAGGACAGCCCCATGGGAGAAAAGACGCTGGTTTGAAGCGGAGGTGGTTGTTTGGGCTTTAGATCATTTGAAGTGATGGTGCAGGCTCAGACACGGGGTTTTTCCACGATTTCAGAAATTCTGTGCACAGAACGAGCCCACAGCCTTTCCCAGCTTAAGTGAGAGAGAATTCAGAGGACGTTCTAAGTCTACTTTCAGTACCCCTTCCCTGACCCCTGATTGTGAGTAGACAGTGATATATATTTTTTTAACCTTTTTTATTTTTTAAACTATGGTAATATGATAACACATTTACAGGAAACTTGGTAAATACACAACAAAGTTACATATAGTTTCACAATATATTACAGTTGTTAAGTAGATAAAGATGCTTAGTTGCAGTTTCAATATCAAACTCTCAGAAATTAATAGAATGAATGTACAAAGAAGTAGCAGTGCTTCCAAGGTGACTCAGATGGCAAAGAATCTGTCTGCAATGCAAGAGACCTGGGTTCAATGCCTGGGTTGGGTAGATCCCCTGGAGAAAGGAATGGCTACCCACCCCAGTATTCTTGCCTGGGAAATCCCATTGACAGAGGAGCCTAGTGAAAGTCACTCAGTCATATCCGACTCTTTTAGACTCCATGGACTATACAGTCCATGGAATTCTCCAGGCCAGAATCCTGGAGTGGGTAGCCTTTCCCTTCTCCAGGGGATCTTCCCAACCCAGGAATCAAACATGTTTCTTTATAATGGGATTATGTTGAATGTCCTCTTGTGCTAAATTCCTTAGAAACTTGGCTGATTTCACGCATTTGGTTACCGGCAGAATCTTCATAGAGGAATGTGAGTTGCTTAAAGGCTTCTATCAGCCTGAAAGTATTTAGATATAATTTACCTCTGCCTTTTGCAATACAAAGACGCTTACTGTAAGCATCGACCATGAAGATCACTTTTAAAAACTTTGTTCCCATGAATTTTATTCTAAAATTAGTAAGGGGATGAGGGTAATGAATTCGTCTTTGTAGAAGTACTCATTTTATCATTTATTTACTCAGCAACTGTTTATTAAGCAACTGTTGGGTGCCAGAAACTGGGCTCGGGAAGGCTGATGGGTTGACAAGTGTGAGTGGCTCTCATGAGGCAGGGATGGTGTTCTCTTCATCTGTTAGCAGCACTTCATGCTTGGGAGGGGTCTGATAAATAGCTCAGAACTAACTGAACAAAGGGTTTCTCTGGTGGCTCAGCTGGTAAAGAATCTGCCTGCAATACTGGAGACCTGGGTTCTATCCCTGGGTTGGGAAGATCCCCTGGAGAAGGGAACGGCTACTCACTCCAGTATTCTGGCCTGGAGAAGTCCATGGACAGAGGAGCTTGGCAGGCTCAGTCTGTAGAGTCACAAAGAGTCAGACACAACTGAGTGACTTTCACTGAACAAAAGGAAGGAGATTTTATCTCTGTTTAGTCTCTCTGTCACGTCCAACTTTTTGTGACCCCATGGACTGTAGTCCACCAGTCTCCTCTGTCCATGGGATTTCCCAGGCAGGAATACTGGAGCGGGTTGCTGGTTCCTTCTTCAGGGGATCTTCTCGACCCAGGGATC